ACAGGCATGCACTACCACACCCAGCTAATTTTTTGATTTATTGTAGAGATGAGGTCTTGCCAAGTTGCCCAGGCGAGTCTCGAAACCGCGGGCTCAATCAATCCATTCACCTCAGGCTCCCAAAGCATGGGATTATAGGCTGAGCCACCGAGCCTGGCTCATTAGTTCCTTCTTAATCTTGGGTCCATCCTGCTGTTTACAAATAACCTTGTCCTCATCAGATACCCTTGTGCTCTGTTTCCTAAATAGGTCATTCCGGTGGTGGCGCGGATGATCTATGAGATGTTTTCTGGTGATTTCACACGATCCTTTGACAGTGGCAGTGTTCGCCTACAGATCTCAACTCCAGACATCAAAGATAACATCGTTGCTCAGCTGAAGCAGCTGTACCGGATTCTTCAAACCCAGGAAAGCTGGCAGCCTATGCAGTCTACCCCTAACATGCAACTGCCCCCTGCCCTGCCGGCCCAGTAATCATGAATGCCATCTTCTTCCTTCTCTTTTTTACAGTATTGTACATATGGATAATTTTTTATTATTTAGGTTTAACCAGCTTTTTAAATCTCTAATTTCTCTAACAATATTAGAAGTCTATGGTTCTCCAAATATGCCTAGATTTAAAGTTCATTTAATTTATGGAAAAATCACCCCTCAGATTTGCCTTTTCTTTTTAAAAATCTCCTAATGGTAATATGATGTAGTAGGAGATTTGGCCTGGGAGTTTGGACACCAAGGTTGTAACTGCAGCTTTGCTTCCAGTGTGACCTTGAATAAGTCCTTTAACCTCTGGGCTTCAGATTTATTGCTTGTAAAGTGCAGAGATTAGAATGATGCCTGAAATTATATCCAGCTTTAAAACTGACTTGATGACTTATTGTTCTTGTACAAGGCAAAACTGTCTGGAACAGAATCCTGCTGCATTGTTCTTGTACCACATTTTTTTCTTGCTTTCATTAAAGTTCCCTCAAGCACTGATTTGTCCAGGATCAAGCTCTGTTTGACCTGTTCTGCTGGTATAGTAAGCTGGTTCCCTAATAGGGGAAGTGAGAGAGACAGGAGCTGGCTGGTTGCTTAGGAACCAAGCTTGATATCTAAATAAAAATGGGTGCCAAAGTCTGAAAGTCACCTGGCCTGTGGAGTAAATGCTCATAAATTGGGCTTCTAAAGGGAAGCTGTCGACACAGAAAGTCTGAGGATTCTGTGGAAGAAGGGATTGTCAGGTATTTATCTTGACAGGTATTTACCACTTAAATACCACTGTTTATGTATGGAAGTGGAGGGATAGATGGGAGTATGTGTCTCAGGTGGAAGCCTAAGAAAAAAAAGGAGCTCTTTTTTTCTTATTCTCTGAGGAAGACCAGAGAGTGAGCTGGCTTTCTAAGATATACTTCTTTGACTACCAAAGGGACAGTTCCTCCTCTTGGAGACTTTTAGAGTCTTCCTGTCAGTTGGATTTTTTGCAGTTGGGAAAAATAGGTGTTGGATGTGTTAAGGTCAGGGTGAACTGGGAAGTGCCCTTCTAGAAAAGGCTCACCTAGCACAAACCTGCTCATCTCCCTTGCCAGTGGAGATATCTGGGTGTGAGCAATGAAGGTAAAGAGTGGTATAGAACACTGAGGTTGTATGTCACAAACTGGTTTTGTCCAGTAACTTGCTCATGCTCTGAATCTTTTGCGTTTCTCTCTTTATTTCTTTAAAGATGAAATTATACATAATTTAGAATCCAAAAACTGTGTGCAGTGGTTTGCATCCATAATCCCAGCACTTTGGGAGGCTGAGGTGGGAGAATCACTTGAGCTTAGGAGTTTGAGACCATTCTGGGAAGTATAGTGAGGCCCTATATTTATAAATATAAAATAAAACAAAACCCAAAACTTAAATGACAAACAAGATGCTAATCTCTGGTTGCAGGCTCCAGTCCTCTTGAATACTGATGCCTCTTTATGTCAGGACATAGTAAGGAAGCCCATGTCTAGTCTGCTATCTTTAAACCAAGCCACCTCCTACTTTTAAAAATGACTAAAAAGTTGAGTTAGCTTTACTTTAAAAATTCAAATCAATCAAAGGAGACAGTAGGACTTATATATTTAAAATGCTGACTGGGTGCAGTGGGTCACGCCTGTAATCCAAGCACTTTGGCAGGCCAAGGGGAGAGGATTGCCTGAGCTCAGGAGTTCCAGACCAGCCTGGGTAACATAATGAGACTGCATCTCTACAATTAAAATAAAATAAATAAAAAAAAAAGCCAGGCATGGTGGTGCCCACCTGTAGTCCCAGCTACTTGGAAGGCTGAGGTGGAAGGATTGCCTGAGCACAGCAGGTTGAGGATGCAATGGCCATGATTTTGCCACTGCACTACACTCCAGCCTGGGTGACAGAGTGAGACTTCAACTCAAAAACAGACAAACAAACAAATAAAATGCTTAAGCCTGGGTTTTAGGTTCTATAAGAGACCTAGTAAAATTTGCTATTATTAAAAACTACCCATAGAAATCTGGATAAAGGTCAGGTGCCCAGCTTTGAGAAAAAGTTGGAGTTTTAGAGACCGGGAAGCATGCAAAGGCATAGAAAATGTACATTTTGGGGGTCATTTTGTTGAGTGGGTGAGGGGAGGGATTTGGTCTTGATGTTTGGCTCCCCCATTTGTATAGGGGAGCTCAAAGTCAATAATAACCGATGGTAGGTAAATTGGGAGGGAAACCGCTCAATCTGGGCTGGTCTCAGTCTCTTCATCTGTGAGATGGATGGGAGCCCAGATAATGTGAACTGGTAAAGGATGTTGAGAAAGTAAGAACATTTATGAATGTGTAAGAGGAATCGGTGAGTGGTTGATATGGTGTTAACTATTTAACCCAGTTTCCTTGTAATGAGTCCTTTTCAGAACACTGGGAGAGTGCATGCAGGAATCTCATCCAATCACCCTCAATGTTCTTTATCTGGTCCTGGTGGACAGATCTAGGTGTCTTATCTTTCATAGGGTATTAGTCGGCTCTCTTCTTTGGTGGTTATCACCACTCACTCCCTTGGTGTCTTCTACTTCCTTTGTGCACCTTGCTTAAGACTGGGAAGGGAGTTCCATTTTTGTCACTAGCTTGTCCTTTTCCTTACTGTGTTCTCCACCAAACTAGTGGAGTTCAAGGTTAAAATGAACCTACTGGAGGTAATTTGGGAGAGCAAGTGTTGAATCTGGGCGGGTCCCTTTCCCATATATGTTCCTATAGCACCCTATACTTCCTCTTTCAGAATAATCATTTCCCTTGACTTGCACTTTGCTGCCAATCCTTAGAACAGTGTCTGGTACAGAGTATGTTCTCAAATATTGGTTGCTGTAATAAACGAATGAACCAAATAAATCTTCCATTTTAGGGCTTTATTGTTAACTACCATGGGATCATACAATAAATAAATATGGGCAAGAAAAAATATTCTAAAGTTAGATTACTTTCTAGTCTCTGCCTCTGTTTCTGAACTAGCTCCCACAAGCTGGTCCTCTTCCCATCCTGGCCCCATCTTCGCTCCACAGTTCTCTCTTTTCAGTCTGAAGATACCACCAAGGTATAACCAAGAGTGAAAACTCCAGAGTAGGTGCCCGCAGTTCCCTTAACCTCTATCTTGCCGCATGCATAAATAAATTTGGGCCATTACCTCAGATGTATAGGTTCCTCAAGAAACTCTCTTTGAGCTATGGGTTAAATAGCTGGTAGCTAAAAAGGTGTTAACCATTAAGCGAAATAAGACTTTTTCTTGGTAATGACTTGACTGGAAAGCCTCAGTCTGCATCTTCTCATTTGAAAACAGCAAACTGGACTCAGTACTTAAGCTCCATGAAGGCGGGGTTTTTGTTTTGCACACTGCAATACACAGCGCTCAGGAGTATGCCTAGCACACATTTGCTCGGGGTGAATACTCACGCCTTCACACCCTGCCTAGAGATCTCTTGTAACTCAGCCTCTAATATTTAGGATTTAGGGAGCCAAAGCTAAAAAAAAAAAAAAAAAAAAAAAAAAAATCTAAAAGTGGCGCAGCACCACCCACAGGTGAGGATATTCTGCAAAATATGCTGCTTGTCATGAGGTATGCTTCATCTGGGCAAAACGCATTTCCGTAGACACAAATCGCAAGTTTTATTAAGTGCTGTGTCACAGCCCTGGATTCCCAGTCAAGTGAGACACCAGACGTCAGAACACACAGGCAGAACATGCGGCAAAGCAAGGCGAGGACAACACCAGAGAGCCAGTTTCTCCAGGTTAAGCCTTCTTTCGTCTATTTCCGCCCCCGCGCTCCCCATCCTAAACAGAAGGGTGGGGCCAGGTTTTTTTCTCACCGGAAAAGGCGGGCCGCAGGTGGACCCAGCTTCCGGCATACGGCGGTGTAGGTTTTCCAGTGGTTCTAACGCGAGGCGCGCGATCGGCCGCGAGATATTACGGAAGGGGAAGAAGAGGGCGGGCCGGACTCGAGGGGTTGCGCATGCGCAACAGGCCGTCATTGCCGGCCTGGAGCAGAGCAGGCTGCGAGGGTCTTTCCTGCGCGGGCGGGGTTTTCAGTTTTGCGGCGCGGCGCCTGGGACTAGCCGCCTTCCCGGTAGCAGGCAGGAAGCCGGAAGGAGTTTCTGAGCCTGCGACTCTGTGGCGGAAGTGGAAGAAGAACGTATGCCACATTTAACAGATCACTTATACTCGGCTCAGGTTTGGATGTGTGGATTGGAACGAGCCAGTCTTCCGAGGGTTCTTGGGTGTTGGCCAGAAAGGAAAGGCGGGGCCAGTAGAAATTAAAATACGATCCTGCTGCAGTTCTAGCGAATATAATTGATTTATTTTTATGTCTCAGGGTGATCTGGTTGCTAGACCACATTCTGGTGTATATTAGTTTAATCAGATTGCTATTCTTACAACTATTCTTTGGCAGGAATAGAAGGGGAGTTGTCAATGAAAAGAATACATTTGGAACCTAGAGTTTTGTCCCAGAGGGCCTTTTGGCGAAGTGCTTAGAATTTTGCCAACAACTTCCCTGCCTCGTTTCTGCCCCAGACTCTTTAAAATTTGAACAAGAGAACATAATTTGTAAATTTTAAACTAGAAACCGGAGAGAATATAAATCTGGCTGTAAGGCCAGAAAGACTCTTGAGACTAAGGGAGACTAAGTCAGTCAGAGGGATCAGGTAGCATTGGTGACCCCATCTAGTCTGGGCGGGCCAACATTCCAAAGCAGAGGGAGGGACAAAATACACCTTGGAAGATGTTGTAAGATTTAACGGGAAGACTGTTGGCTGGTTTTCTGGTGTGTCTGTTGTTAATAATTCCTTGCACTGCTTTGTTTCTAGGCCCCTCAAGTGTCTGGAGCTGAAAGATGCGTCCCAGGGAAGGGAACTGTGCTAGCTAAGGAGGCCATGTTTGACATTGCTTCTAGATCTCATGTCAACACCAAGCACTCAGCTGCTGGTGGCAGCTGCTCAGCAGACGCTGGGCATGGGAAAGAGACGGAATCCACCTCGTGCTATCTGCCTTCACCTAGCTGGAGAGGTGCTGGCTGTGGCCAGGGGGCTGAAGCCAGCTCTGCTTTATGATTGCAACTGTGCAGGGGTGTCAGAGCTCCAGAACTATCTGGAGGAGCTGCAGGGGCTGGGTTTCCTGACCCTGGGACTTCATATCCTTGAGATTGGACAAAACCGCCTGATTATCAGTCCTGAGCTCGTATGTCAGCACTTGGAGCAGGTGCTGCTTGGTACTGTAGCCTTTGTGGATGTTTCCATCTCCCAACCTTACCCTTCTATCTGCTCTCTGGACCAGCTTCAGGACTTGAAGGCTCTCATGACGGAGATCATCGCACATTTGCAGGGTCTGCAGAGGGACTTATCTCTCGCAGTCTCCCATAGCAAGCTTCATTCCTCAGACTGGAATCTCTGTACTGTATTTGGGATCCTCCTGGGCTATCCTGTCCCCTATACCTTTCACCTGAACCAAGGAGATGACAACTGCTTAGCCCTGACTCCTCTACGAGTATTCACTGCTCGGATCTCATGGCTGCTAGGTCAACCCTCAGTCCTGCTGTATTCCTTTAGTGTTCCAGAGAGCTTGTTCCCACCTTTGAGGGACATTCTAAACACCTGGGAGAAGGACCTCAGAACCCGATTTCGGACTCAGAATGACTTTGCTGACCTCAGCATCTCCTCTGAGATAGTCATGCTGCCGGCTGTGGCCCTCTGACATTAACTCTCCTCCCATGTAGAAGGTACTCAGTAAATGATCATCTCTAGTTTGGGAATAGCAAATAGGGATCATCTCAAGTGCCAATTCCAAGCATCTTTAGAACGCTAGCAGAGAATGCTATAATCATTGGCCACATTTGCAAAGGGCATGAGAATAGGTGATGGTGGTAGTGGTAGCATTGGTAGTACATATTTGCCATTTCTGTACTAAGAAGTCCTCTTGACAGAGATATCTTAATTTTTTACTAGATAAGATGTAGAAGTAAAGAGATGGCAGTGTAAAAGCAGAGTGGTGGAGGACAAGCAGAATACAATTGTATGGTAACCTTGTAAATATAACCTGCCCTATGTGGGTGTTGTCTGCCAGGAGTGTAGACTGTGGGCTTTCCTGCATGCTTGTATACTTCAAACTGAGTTTGACTAAACAGAGTAGACCTCCAGTGCACTTAAATGATGTGATACTTGTGATACTTATTCAGGAATAAACCAAGAGTTCTGAGGAACAGTCTGGTCAAGTGAAGTTTATTTACAATAAGTTAAAAAAAAGAGCAAAAAGTCAGAAATCCCATTCAATTGGGGGAGAACCCACATTGTAAAGTGCCCAGACCTTCTGAGTTTTTCATTGATTTACTTCTGATTTTTCACCCAAGGCAGCTATCACAAATTATTCAGATCATCAGCTTGTCTTTGTTGGCTAGGAACACTGCCAGTGCTGCAGCAATCACCACCATCAGCATCAGGAGCCATCGGCCACCTTGCCCCTGGGCAGAGGGAGGAGGAGACAGGAAAAAGTGGCCATGAATTGGTTGGAGAAGATAAATGCAAAAGTAGTCTTCCTCTAGCCCTGTGGAAAACTCTGGGTTAGTGGTGGAGAAAAAGCTTTTTACTTCACTGTTTTCTTCCACCTTCTCTCACTTCTCTTGGGATACAACCACACAACCACATCACCAATGGTCCTTAGCCAGGGAATCATATCCAGCAGCAACCAGATATGTAAATGCTGATACGGATAATCAAGGGTGGAAAATAAGAAAATTATATTCTCTGTTCATATGCCTCATGCTATTGCTCTTCTGTCCTTGCCACCATGCTTAAAATAGGCTAAAAGAACACCCTTTCATACTTAACTCTCTGGACTTGAGAGTTCCATGAAAGTTGAACTTTGATGCACAAGTCAGTGTTTCTTTTCATAGTTGCTGTAATGTCAGTGTAGTATAAACCAAGTGGAGTGGGACGGGCTGGCCAGATGTTGGCATGGGCTGATAAATTTTATCTGTAGACTTGGCTAAAGAAGGAATTGTCCCACCATCATCTGGGGTTGCATGGGAGGATAGATTCTCTTACTGTAGGAGATGGCTGCTGTCTCTGGTTCAGCTCTTCTCGACAGTACTGCAGCTTACGCAGGCAGGAGAGATACTCATCACTGAGGTTGTCTAACTCTGAATGCAGTTTTCTGTACTGGGGAGAATATCACCAAGTTCATCATCATTACTTCTGTCTAGGACAGAGCTCAGGAGGGGAGACTGCCCTGTTTAAGTTACCCCTTCACTTATTTGGATCTTTTTTACCACCATCCTCCCTTCCCAGTCTTTCTCAGAGATTTGAGTTTGTCTTTTGACTATCTCACCTAGTTTTTCTGGAATGTGTTCATGTAAATGATTTGTTATAATGCATATTATAATAATACATTTTATACATGTAAGTTCTTTGATGTCACAGTGCATGTGCAAGTGTTTTGCAAATGCGGGACACCAAAAAATTAAGTTCTTAAAGCACTAAAGATCTAGAGTTACTACAAGTCTCTTTCCCAAGAGCTAGTTGCACATGCATACTTACAGGAATATATGTATTTGTGAATATGTAGAAAGGAAGAATTTTACTATTTAAAAGATGCTCTGTAAAGCTTTAAGATACTCATTGTGGGACACTTGTGAAATTATTTGTATTAAATGTATTTGAGTTTAGGTCAACTTTCAAAAAGGTAATTATTTAAAAAACCTTGAATAGTAGTTGCTATAAATATGAAAGGGAAAATATTAACAAGTCAATTCAAAAGCAAAGACATTTTATCAGGCAAGTGAATACCTGTGGGCTTCCAATTCCAATGAGAGTTTAAATTTTGAAATCCCTGGTCTGTGGATGTCGCCCAGGTTTCCCTGCAGATGAGCCCCTCACTAACCGAGGTCTCCCTCTCACCTCCTTTTCCTTGACCTGGAGCTGCAAAGTCTTCTTTTGCAGCTCATCTCTGAGAGCCCAGTCTTTCTCCGTCCCTGTACCCTCAGGCTCCACTTCATTATGGGAGGGCTTTGAACTCCACACTGGGAAAGCCTGATCTGAAAAAGTAGCCAGATTCTCAGTGATAGCGAGGCCCACACCTCAGAGGAACGGAACTATCAGTGAGAACCCCTAGGAGCGGGCAGAGGGGTGGGAGCAAGGGAGGACCTACTCTTGGCTAGACTGAATAGAATGGAATTCTCTGACATAAAGCACTTCCCTCTGTACCCTGCTTAGCCTGGACATATAACTGGAGTTTGGGCTCCTTGAGGGCAAGGTTGGCATCCTACTTTTCTTTGTTATCCCCACTCTTGTCTAATGCTAGATACTTGGAGTGAATTAATTGAATTTCTTTGGTTGCATGTTACATCCTTTCTAGTTTGTTGGATGCTTTTCCCATATGTCGTCATTTCAAAGTTTTGAAAATGTACTAAAATTGATCTTCATGTGGTGAAGGTGATTTTCACTCACCTTGCAGTCTTAGTCTTGGTGAAAAGAGCACTGGACTAGGAGTCAGAAATTCTGGATGGTTGTCTTAGCTCTATCCTTACTTTGTGTGACCATAAGCCTTCATTTTTCTTATCCATACTACGTGGGCATAATAATTTGTGCCTTCTATATTATATTATACTCAGTGATTGTGAGGAGAAAACTAAAGGACATGTGTAGTGGATAAGTGAGGAGCTACTGTCCTCTCTTTATATTTGTATATGATGAATACTCAGGAAGCTTGGGTAGCAGACTCTTTGTGTCCAGGAATGAGGTGACTCTTGTGTGCTACATGGCTTGGGGCTGGGGAGTTAGATGTCATTTGGAAAATCATGTGTAAAAATTGACATGAAATCCTGAGTTCAAAATCAATTTATTGAAATACTCAACACACACATATGCTTTCAGAGAGAATAGAAATCCTTTTTCACCATTTATATACCTCAGGATAGAAGGTTAAATAGTTGAAGTGTTCTCAGAATCAATGATCAGTCCTTAAGAAGCTGCCCTACATTCCTGACTTAACAAACTCCCAGAACTGAATGAGACTGTAAAAGGTCATGTAGTCTTACTGCCTCTAGGCTGGCAAGGAAGGAGCAATTATATTAGAATTTGTGGTAGTAAATTTGCTGACCTTTCTTTGTTAAGAGTTTCTCTTGTTCTTGAAGCTGTAAGGATTGATTCTGAAGCAGACCTGTTGGAAAACACAAGGAACTTGTCTATGCTAGCATATATATCATAAAGTTCTTTTCAGAACTTTGCTTAGAACCATAATTATTAAAGATGTTCCCGTCTGCTGTGTTTTGAATTTTACCCGCCCCCCCCAACAAATTGATATGTTGAAGTCCTAACCTCCAGTAACTCAGGTTGTGACTTTAACTGGAGATAGATGTCTTACAGAGGTTTTCAAGTTAAAATGAGGTCATAAAGGGGGACCTCAATTTAATATGACTGGTATCCTTATAAGAAGAGGAAATACGGACACTGATAAGTTCCATGGGAAAGATGGTGGGAAGAGACACAGAGAGAAGACAGCCATCTACAAAGCCAAGGAAAGAGGCCTGGAATAGCTCCTTCCCTAAAAGCCCTCAAAAATAGAGCCTTCCCTAAAAGCCCTCCTGCCACCTTGATTTTGAACTTTTAATCTTCAGAACTGTGAGACAATATATTTTTTTCTTTAAGGCACTTAGTCTGTGGTACTTTGCTATAAATATACCATCTTTATATCTCCTCAGCCATATCTTGATCTTCAAGTCTCTGCTTAAATATTACCATAGAAGAAAGGCTTTCCCAGATGGCACTATATAAAATAGCAACTATTTTCCCTTTAACCTGCTTTATTTTTCTCCATAGCATTTATTACAACCTTACATATATCTATCTATAGAAACTCCATACTGGACTGTAGAGCTTACTTAAAATGCAAGTTTCATGTGGTAAGGAACTTTTAGTTTTATTCATTACTATATCCTCAGTCTGTATAACTAGAGTGTCTGGCACTTAGGGGCACAATGAATTTGTATTGAATAAATAAAGGCATAGTTTTGAAGTGCCTTCCTGCCCATCCATCTTCTGCCTTGTAAGAGCTCAATATCTGCTGGTATTCTCTCTTTCCTCTGTGATTGCATTGCTCTTTTAATATTCATTACTATTTGCATGACACATCTCTGTCAGGTGTCAGAGGTAGTGGACAACCCGCAAGAGGTATTAATTGAGTCAGGTTCTCCAACTTTTTAGAAATTATCTGCTTTTCTTCTGAAAAGTCCCTTCTCTCGGCCCAATATATAGTTTTGAAGTGGGCTGAGGAATGTGTAATTATAAACTTATTTTTTAAACCATCTCTAGTGACAAAGGTCTATGTGTATGTTCATAGGTCATATTCATTAACAAAAGTTAGAATGCAGAAAATAAGAACTATCTTAGAAAACAATACTTTTTAAAATCTGCAATTTTAAGGGAAATACAAGTAGTTATCGGCAAGGAAGGAAAAAGTAGAAAAAAAAGAACAAAAGGCTAATACGTATATAATTTGCAAAAAGTTACGTCCTCGTTTCACAAGAAGAGGGTCTGAAAATGCACAGAGGTAGAGGACATGCCAAAGACTGGACCCCTCAATTCCTTCTCTGGTGTCTTTTATGGGCCAGGAGCCCCAGGAACACCAAAACAAACAAACAAAAACCAAAAAACTCCTATGCTACTTTAAGAATCTGGAAAGGGAACTTACTCTGCAACTGCTGTACTCTGGTCATCAGGGCGAATTTCTCCTCCTCTGACTTTTTTAGTTCATCTGAAAATGAAATAATGCAAGCCAAATAGAAGAACCCAAGACTTAACTCGATACCTGAGGATGGAAATTAGTAATAGATATTGTCTCGTCTCTGACCTCTAATGTGTCAAATGGCAGTTGCTTTATCTTCTACTTGTCCCAGTTCTGAAGAGGTAAAGCAGAAGCTGAGTACCTCCGATTTCATGCATCAACAATGTTGGGCTGAATTAAGGATTATATTTACAAAATCTGGTCCTCAGTTGACACAGAGGCTATGACTGGGAGGCCTTTACTATGCCTGAGCTTTCAACTGAGAATAGAAATCCTTTCAACTGAGCTTTCCCTTTCAGATTGGGAATGTGGCCTTGATGCATGTGACTGATGTGGGAGCAGCTGGCCTAGAGGGGTGGGCTAAAGAGAGAACTCAGACAAGATACTCTAATGAAGTAAAATTAACTTTCAGTCTTGCATTATTAAAACAGCTCTGCGTCTTCCTCAAAGTAAAATGAAATCAAAGCCAACCAAGCAAACAAATAAAAGGCTGAAGCCTTTCTCTCTACTCAGCTTCCTTTTTCTTAGCTCACTCAGTCATGGCTCCTGTGCTCCTAAGGGCTTCAAGGAGAAGGTTACCTTGTAGGTCTTGGGTATCTGAGCTGCACAGGTCTCTGTCTCCTTGCAGGTGCTCAATCTTTGCCTGCAGTTCCTGGTGCTCATTCTCCAAGAATTGAAGGGCCTGGTTCATCTGTAAGTCTCTGCTGTCTGCGCCCTGTAATGAGGAGAAGTGCCGACATAGAAAGAAGTCAGTGCTGGGGTGGAAGTTGGGGTCAGGTCCTGTGGAAGAAGAAAATTATAGCAAATTGTAAAAGGATAGAAGAAGAAAAAATGTTAGGGAAATGAAAAAATAAGGGAGTTTTTAAAAAAAATTCTCTTTTGCTCTGCTCTGTTCCTCATATTTATAACAGTACATTAGACTTTTGATGTTCACAAGGATTCATGTCTTGACATGTTGGTAACTCACCAAATTAAGGAATACCAAGTCATCACTTTTCTAGATTTTTTTTTTAAACTTTCTCTTCTTATTCTAGTACTATCAGTTTTTTGGGGTAGGCATTTCTCACAAAATGTCAAGGTTAAAAGCCTCACAAAACCTTTATAGGAGCTGCCTTATAGGTGATAGGAAGAAGAGAACAACAAAGGTTGAGATGCTGATATGTCGCAGGGTGACCAGCTAGACTCACTCCTTTGGTAAGGCTCACACATTCTGTCTCTTACCAAGTGCGTCATTCCAATCCCTGCTTCAGGATCAATTTTTGAGGTGGGTCCTCAAAACTCCAATCTAAGTAAATAAAGTCTATACAAAATAATAGCTAATATTTATTGAGTGCTTATATGTGCTAGGCACTTTGCTAAGTGTGTTAAAGGGTTATTTAATACAATAATCCTATGATATAGGTACTATTACTCTCATTTTATATGAGGAAACGGAGGCTTAGAAGATTAGTTAACTTTTCCAAGGTTACACAGATTGGAAATGATGGAGCCCTTGAGAATGTCAAGGGTCTCCTGTAATTGCTTTAAAAACACATTGGCAAGATGTGTTAGTTAATATGCACCTATAAATACTGTGCCAGTACAGAAAAACAGAAAGAAGAATTCTTTTTTTTTGAGTTGGAGTCTCATTCCATTGCCCAGGCTGGAGTGCAGTGGCATGCTCACAGCCACCCCAGCGTTGACTCGCTGGGCTCAGGCAATCCTTCCTCCTCAGCCTTCTAAGTAGCTGGAACTACAGGTGGCTAATTTTTAAATTTATCATAGAGATGAGGTCTCGCCATGTTGCCTAGGCTATCCTCCAACCTGTGGGCTCAGGCAGTTCTCTCACCTCGGCCTCCCAAAATGCTGGGATTACAGGCTTGAGCCACTGCACCCGGCCAGTAGTGGGCAATTCTGAACTGGATGCTCTATTGGGATGGAATTTGGAGAGTGGGTTGGGGTAGACATTCAGAGGCTGATTAATATCCCAGCCTAGCTCTTTGGATTTGGATGGTGTCATTCCAATAAAGGCTTAATTCATTTGCATGAGCAGTGCACACATCCTTGCTAACCTCCAAATTAGATTGCAGAGCCGAAACAGCAAGTCTGGTACAAAGTGGGCAGTGAGTGATGAACTGAAAACCAAATGCTCTCAGCTGCCTCTGGGGCCTCCAGCCCAGGAGCAGCTTCTCTCATCACCACCCCTCTTCCCCATGTCCTGCCTCCTTTCCCCTACCCTAATGCCTGGTACCTGCAGTTTGGACTGAAGCACATGGAGTTGGCTCTCCAACTCTCGGTGCTGGGTCCCCAGGGTATGCCAGTCTTCTTTCAGAGCCTCATACTGGCTTCTCCACTCTTCACACTTCTGTTCTGCCAGGGCCAAGGACCGCTAAAGGAGATCAGAGAGGAGGGGGTTCCAGGGAGTTATGCAGCTGGCTCCCTTTTGTCCCAGAGCTGCCCTGGGGTCCCCAGCCACAAGGACTATGTAGTATCCCCACACCTGCGTGCTCTGCAGTTGCTGCTCTGCATTCATTTTCTCCTCCAGCACTTTCTGCAGTGATTCCTTGGCCTTCTGCTCATAGCTGTTTTTCTGTTCTTCCATCTTCAGTAGCACCTTTTTTATTCCCCGTGGGGAGTATTTCTGTAAATTTGATGCAGTTTGACAAATACACATTGAGCTTCTGTATGACAAGCTGGCATACAGATGATTAATTAGTTCCTGACCCCAGGACAGGGAGACCAGTGATCTGGTGGGCCTTTTCTTCTTGGCTAGAACTAGCAGGAAGAGGTTCAGGCATTGTGAGCGATGAGAGGCGTGGGGGTATGGGGGGAATAAACAGTGCACTGGGCTTGCTGAGCGTTGTACCTTAGGGATTCCACAGGCTCTTGAAATCTAACATGTCCACACAGAGCTCATCTTCCTAAACTTGCTCCTTTCTCCTGGGCTTCCCATCTCAGTGACCACTATCATCACCCATCCAGGTTCCCAAGCCCTAAACCAGGGAGTCAGCCTTAATTTCTCTCTTGTTTTCTTCCAATAATCGGTTAGTCGATTGAGCTTTTTCAACGTCCTTAACACCTCATACCTGTCTCCTTTCTGTCCCTACTGCTACTTCCTTAGATCAGGCTCTAATAATATTATTATATGGATTTGTCCTCCTATCTTCAAGCCTTGCCTCCCTTCAAGCCCTTTTCAGTCCTGCAGTTAAAACGTTCTTTCTAAAATGCACATCTGCTCATGCCATTCCCTGTGTAAATCTGTCCATGGATTTTCTCAGTGTCCCAAGAATCATATCCAAACTCCTTGGCATGGCTCCTACTTGCAAGTCCAGACTTTCATCCCCTGCTGCCTCTATTTAAGTTGCACTGCTTGCAGATCCTCTAAAGACTGAGCTTTTTGGCCTCTTGCCTTTATCCATATCACTTCTGCCTACAGCTGATTAACCTATTTCATACACAAGATTCAGTCCAAGTATCATCAGTTCTGATAAATCTTGTCGAACTATCCCCATGCCCCAACTCCTTATGGATTAGGTAGCTTTTCTTGGTATTCATGGTATTAATGTATGCCTCTATTGCTCCAATCTATTGACTCATCTGTCTTCCTTAGTGGAGTATAAACTTCAGGGCAAGGAGCATGCTTCTTTCTTTTAAAACGAAATCTTTGTAGCCTTCCTGCAATCCCTAGTGAGTTCAATTAATGTTTTAAAATTAATATATTTGCATTTTGAAATTTCTCCTGGCTTCAGGATTAAGAAAGAGACCCAAGAAAACATTGCAAATTCACTGGGGGTCTTGCCCTCCCCATGTCTTTCATTTTTGTGTCCTGCGATTTTTGAGAAGGCAGGCAGCTTTTACTGTCAGTTCTGGACTCCTTAGGTGAGCAGTAGTCCAGATGACAACAATTTAGGGAACTATATGAAATGTTTTCATGTAGCTTTGGAATTGTCTGAAAATTTGGATTTAAATATGAAAGGTCTTATATTTTGGAAATTTTCATTAAAACAGATCCCAGAGTTACTTGGTTGAGGTCATATGTGGGGGATGTTCCAGTTTTTGGATTTAACCAGGCTGGTCACTTGTTAAGTCTTATCTCCTATTGAAGATGAATAGATTAGCATTCTGGATTATATTTTGGTCTCTTATGAGTTTGGTTGGCATTATTTAGTTCACAAGAGGCTGACAAAGTAGGTCATACTGAAAAAAATAAAAGTTGTAGACCAGGAAACCTAATACAATATAAACTCTGCCTGCTCCACCCCATTTTGTTATTTGGCATCTCCCTATCTGTCAGGGATCCATTGCTTCTCAAATATGAAAGCTGATTTCTTTCTGTCTCTTGTAAACTAAGATTAGGCCAGTCAAGAGATTGTGAGCTGGATAACCATGTTAGAGAAGAGCCAAGAGTCAAGGTATTTTACTTTCTTCCAGGGATTGCTAGAAAACACGATAAAGTTGCCCATGGGATGAAAGTCATTTTGCAAGAATTCACTGTAACATCTGACTCATCTGTTCAAAGATTGGGACCTGTTATGTCTGTCTGGGTGGTATGAATTTTTACCAGGACTCTTTTCTTACAGTTTCAGGTATTTTCAGTGTTCCCTTGGGGCTGACAAAGTGGTTAGTGCTGGGAATTTTTTCCCCCACAGAGCACAAAGAAAAGAATACTGGGAGAAAGGAAGAGGAGGATGGAGATAAAGATATGGTGAATTAGGGATTAGATTGAAAATGGCCAAACCAAAACCTGGTAATTAGGAATGGTGGGTGTGTTAATCTCATGGCAGTTTTAGGAAGTAGGATTGAGGCTCAAGCATTCTTCTCATTTAATTCTAGATTTCCAAGCTGGAAGTGTCCTCCAGAATGCTTACCTGGGTACAAGTGTACAGCTGGTTTTCTAGGGATCTCACTTTGCACTTCAGTGTGTCTTCATTAAGCTGTCTCTGGAGCAAATGGGATGAGTTAGTGAGGTGGGGCCAAAATATAGTCTGCAAAGAATTTTACTCTATATTCCCAACCTACTGCCCAGACTTGGTTGATGGTCAAACACTAAGCTCTTTCAGAAGGTAGGCAGGAGCAAAGATGATGAAGGATATTGAATAGAAGAGGATCTCTCCTTTTTGTCTGGACTAGGACAAGAAAGAATCAGACTGCCCCCTCCCCAAGTCCTTTTTTTTTTTTTTTTTTTTATCTTGAATTTCTCTCTCAAATGGCTCAGGGTGTCATATCAGAGGGTACTGGAAGGGATAGATTCTAAGCTAGTCTTTTCTCTCCTCACCTCCTGCTTCTCACCTCCTCTCAGTCTTTTACATGGATTTTACCCCTACAGTATAGGCCAGCAAGGCTAAAGGGAATCTGCCTTCTCAGGGAGAATATGTATTCCTTCCCTTACCCCGGTTATGGGCTGAGATGTATCTTCAAAATTCCTGTGTTGAAGTAAACTCCTAAGTACCTCAGAATGTGACCATATTTGGATAGGGTCTTCAAAGAGGTAATTAAGTTAAAATGAGGTAATTAGGGCAGGCCCTAATACAATATGACAGGTACCCTTCTGAAAAGAGGAGTTCAGGACACTGAGGGAAGACCACATGAAGACACAGAGAGAAAGTGACTACCTGCAAGCCAAGGAGAGAGACCACAGGAGAAACTAACTCCGCTGACACCTTGATCTCAAACTTTTAGCCTCCAGAACTGTGAGACAATAAATTCTGCTGTTGAAGCCCCTCTGACTGTGGTATTTTGTTACAGCAACCTTAGCAGATTAATATACTCCCCTTCCTGACACACACACGCACACACATACACTAGACTTACGATGAGAAAATCTTTAGGAAAGCAAGAAATGGACAGAGAGATAGTAAAGCAGAGTATAAGCTGCAAGGGGTATAAGGGAGTTTCCCAGAAAGTCACATTCTATTTATTCATAAGCTGGGTCTGTCTAATGACATTGTGGGCATTCCAAGAAGAATGCTAATCTCAAGGACGAGAGGGGATTGACCAGCATGAAAGGCCAATCTGTTTCTCAGTTTTTCAGTATTTCAGCTGAGTAGCTAACAACTTCCTTGCCACTTTGTTGTTCCCTCTACTTGTAGACTTGTCCTTTTTCCCAAGTAAGTATTTTGTTCTTCCAGCCTTGAGTTTTGTTTAAAGTGTATGTATTGGGATGGGGGATGGGGGGTGCCATCTGTGAGAGCAAGTTTTCCACAGAAAGGGTCATGGGTCTCTTTAGCAGCAATCTGTAGCTTTATTTCTCTCCAGGCCACGTGGGACACTTGTGAGGTGAGGTCTAGAAATTTCACTTGTCTTCAGGCTTGAGATGCCAGGCTTGAAATAGCCTGGACATTTTCAACCCTCATGATGTTTCCGATCTATAATGATCTGGAGGCAGAGAAGGGGGGACTCTGTTTTGAGGTTTATCTACTTCAATGAGTTTCAGGGTGCCTGGGGGAGGCAGGAAGTGGTATCTCACAGCTCCTGTTTTGATCTTGTTTAGCTAATTCTTCTAACCAGGGGAGCCAGGGGGCACCCCCACCCTTTCTGCTTCCTGTGTTACTCAGCTGGGGCTTGAAAAAGCAAAACACTTTGCCAAGAATAATTTTTAAAAGTGCCTCCTGTTATTAATGTTTTTCCTAACATTTCATGTGTGAGAGAGCTGAGAGTCAGGGATTTGGCATCTGTAATAACCCACAGGGCTTTGAGACAGATAAAAAAGATGGACAAAGACATCCACTGTTTGAGTTTTGAAGGAACTGGTAAAATGGCTACATTCCCAAGTTGCCTGTTTGTTGTCAGACCTCAGGTCGTGAAATCAACTGGCTCCACAATCAACTAACTCCCCTGCTTCAGATCTTCTGACTCTATGCATTTTCCTTTACCCAAACTCTACAATGAAGAATGCAATCAAACTTAACAAGTGTAAGGTCTATCTTGCTATATTTTGGGACCAAAACAGGCCCAAGGCAATATTCTTAACTTTTCCCAGTCTCCTACACCTTTTTGGGTGTCTCCTCTCTCCCTATTACGTAGTATGGCTTTAATCCAATATTTTGCCTCTTCCAACTGTTTTTGTATATTAGCCTAATCCCAGATTACTTTTCCATTCTTGTTGCGGACAACTCACTGGTGGGGATGAGGGGCCACCCAAGTCTAGGGCTTGAATAAAATCTCTTTTCCACAGCTCTGCTTTCCTGGACTCCCTAAGGCAGTCAGGAAAGTCGCAGTCAAGTTGTTGCAAATAGAGCATGTAGTTTCCTGGTCTGAGCCCCAGGTCTCCCCACACTGAAGCCCAGTGTTACAATATATGGGAAAAAGCACTTTTTACAGGCCTATTTCTGACCTTCTCGGCAGGTATACCCAGGGAGCCTAGGGCTCAGAGGGCACAGTCACCCCAGTGGAAAAGGGAGCAAGGTGGAGGCCATACACACCTGGTGCTGGTCTGAGGGCTTCAGTTCCTGCTTCTGCTTGGTTTTCCCCTGCTTCTGATCTGTTCTCCAGAAACACCACCACCACCTCACTGCAGAAGCACCAGCCCACAGCTCATCTCTCTGCTCTAATAGAGTTGCTTAGGGCTTGCAGCCAATCCCCCGCTGCCCTGTCAGCTCAAGATCTCAGTTCCACGTTGCAGGTCTTAAAACCCAAGTCTGCTGTGCTGCTGTTTTTGTATTGCACAATGTTGAGAGTTCGCTTTCTCTACTGGCTGAACTGATTCTACCCTGAAGAAGTCTCAGTGGTGGCCCAGGGCCTGTGGTATCCCAAAGGCCCAGAGTCAGTTTGGAAGTAGAGCTAATGGAGGAAGCAGATTTTAGGGGTTTTACTAGAAAGTTTGTGGTAAGCGTCTTAGTATGTGAAGTTGGAGATTCAAATCATGGAGGTCAAATGGAAAAAATTAATATCTGAACCAGTTCTGGACACGTTCTTCCAATTATTTTTTCCAAATACCATAGACTGGGGCTGTCCTCTTATTGAAGTTGAGGCTCTCTATCCATGGAGGGGATAGAGAGTTGAATTGCCTTGTCTTGGGGAAAGCAAGAGCTCTCAACTAAAAAAGTTTGAGATTGTTGTTCTTAAAAATCGGAAGCTGAGGGGGTTAGTGAGGAGGAGGAAGAAAAGAAGGGTGAGGATTGGGAAGGGTGAGAATAAGAGAGGAGGGAGAAAACCACAACCAGAGGAACTTCTGCTCTTGGGTTGGAGCATGGGGTAAGACTCCTCCTTGAAGACTACCTTAGAAATGTTTCTTAACAGTTGGGCATGGTGACTCGTGCCTGTAATCCAAGCACTTTGTGAGGCTGAGACAAGAGGATTGCCTGAGCCCAGGAGTTTGAGACCAGCCTGGGCAATGTTGTGAAACCTTGTCTCACAATAAATTAAAAATATTAGTCAGGCATGATGGTGTGCACCTGTAGTCTCAGTTACTTGGAAGGCTGAGGTGGAAGGATTGCCTGAACCCAGCAGATTGAAGCTGCGGTAGACGTGATCATGCTACTGCACTTCAGCCTGGGCAACAGAGACTCTGACTCAAAAAGAAAAAAAAGAAATGTCTTTTAATGTATCCTCATTCTCACCAAGCTTGCTATGATTTAAGCTCTGATTGTGTGATATTATGAGTCTTCACTTCTCCCACCCCTGCTTGGAGCCGGGATCCTCATTGTTACTAGTTAAAGAATCTTTAAAGACATGGATCTGATCGTTCAGTTTCAATCCAGTTCCACAGATAGTGATTGAGTTCCTTCTGAGGATGCGCCAGATATTGCTAAGTGTAGGCCTTTAAACACCAGTAAGACAGTACCATTTCTATTTATTGTCTATAGCAGTGTTTCTCAAACTGGGTAGTATGCATTCTCATGGACATCTGATAATATGGTTTTCTTTTTTTTTTTTTTTTTAAGAGACAGGATCTCACTCTGTTGCCCAGGTTGGAGTGCAGTGGTGCTCATAGCTCTCTGCAGCCTTAAACTCTTGGGCTCAAGTGATTCTCCTGCCTTACCTCCTGAGTAGCTGGGACTACAGGCATGCATCACCACACCTGGCTAATTTTTAAATTTTATTTTATATAGACTGGGTCTTGCTATGTTGCCCAGGCTGATGCTGAACTGTCATCAAATGATCCTCCCTCCTTGGCCTCCCAAAGTGCTAGAATTTCAGGTGTGAGCCACCTTACCCAGCCCATGGCTTTCTTTTAAAAAGGGGTCCATACATTCTTCAAGTTTGAGATCTCTTGTTCAACAGAAAAATTTTAAGTCCCATAATTCTAGGGAGCTGTCTGAGGCCCTTCCTTTTGTATTACTCTGACATCATCACTTCATTTCAGCCACACTCTGCTAAACCCAACGCTTTGTCACATCCAGGCCTGTAAACATTCTGATTCCTCTACCTTAAATGCCCTTCTCCTTTCTGCTTTCTCCCCCATCATCACACCTACTCTGCACTGGTAAACTCCTACTCATCCTACAAGATCCAGCTAAAATGGTCTCTTTCCTTTAAAATCTTCCCTATTCCATTTTAGGCAACATCATTGCTCCTCTTTTTCCTGTGTCACTTCATATACACTGCTGTTATAACCTTATTACATTGCTTTGGAATTACTTATTACATCTCTCTCGTTATGGCTGGAATGTGAGCTCCTCAAAGCAAAGCCTCTACTTCTTTTTGTGCTCTAACACAGGGCCCAGCACAGCATTGGAACTTCTCAAATGTCTGTCTAATAAATGAGTGAGACGATCTCAATTTAGTTCAGCACCGGAAACCACCTGGCATACACAGCTGTCTGCCCCAGCCTCCTACTCTGCCAGTGAAAATGACTTCTTGAACAATCAGGAATCTTGACTGTAGATTCCAAAGTCCAGATATAGTGTCTGAGGAGGGAGGGCTAAGCTAGGAAGTCCTTCGTATATCACTGCACTCTCTCAGTTTTGTTCCACACATTCCCATCATCTTTCTCTGTCTCAGCACAAGCCATCTTCGAGGTAGGGTGTTGTCACAGAGACCTATAAAGTTGTGTGCTCTGTCCGGTTGCACCTGGACTTTCTACTTCATTGGTGTCAGACTGCTTATGGCTCCCGGAACATACTAATCTAGGGGTTTCAACATGGAGATTCTGAGGAACCCTGGGAATCCTCAAGACACTTTCAAGGGATCTGGAAGGTCCTCCCTTTTCTAACTACATATCTGTGTAAGACTGAATTTTTTCATTCTCTTTAACCAAAGAATGTATTGCAACAAGTTGGATGAAGAAGCAAATATGAAAATCTATCTGTCTTTTGTTTAGCCAGACATTAAAAGATTTGCAAAAGTGTAAAGCAATGCTATTTCTCTCACTATTTTTTGTTTTTGAAAATATTATTTTCATAAAATATGTAATTTAGGTTGGCATGTAATGATTCACTATTGTTACTTTAAAATTAATAATTATTTCTAAATTTCTGTTTTCATTTTGAATATGGTAAATATAAAAATTTCATAGGGATTTTCAATAATTAAAAAATAGTATAAAGGAGTCTTAAAATAATAAAGTTGAAAAACCATTGCACTAGACTATACCATGCCTCTAGATCTTTGTCAGCACTGTATCTTGCACCTAGAATACTATACCTGTTTCCACATTTGTCTGGTAAATGCTATTTATTAACAACAAATAATCCTCTGGCTCTACTCTTCTCTGGAGTTGCTCATTCCTTCTTGTATTTTACTATACGAAACATTTTATTTTTCATCTTTGTATTTTTTAGACATCTGTCTCCCTTAAAAAAAATCATGAACTTTCTAAAAGCAAGAACCCTGCCTAAGTAATCTCATTATTTCCAGTGCTAGCCTAGTGCTTGAATCTTAGTTCTGGTTCTGCCACTAGCTAGCTGAATGACTTTCAGCAAGTTACTTGACTTCTCTGAGACAATTTTCTCATAGGCAAAATGAGAGAAATAGACCAGATCATCTATAAAATTCCTTCTCACTCTGGCATTCATGTTTGGGCATTTACTTTATTCAGTAATATAAACTATATTGGGATCTTCTTTCTTTCCTCCCAATAAATTAAAAGATGAGAATTCTTGCCACTTTTGGCTTTGGGTCTTTCCTGGATTTATAGCAGTGTGACCCCCTGGTGATGACCTGTACATTTACTGTGACCTGCATGACCTCTAGGTATAAGCATCGTCCTCCCCATCTTCTACCTCTTTCCATCTCACTTTTTCAATAGTGAGAAAACCTCATTCTCTTACTGTGATGAAAAATAAGGAAAATAAGATAGGAACACATAGAAGCCCATGAGTTTTGTTCAGACAAATATTTCATTTCCTTACCTTGCAAGAGCTGTCAAAGGCCCGGAACACAGTGGACAGTAGGTCTTGTAGAACCTCCATTTTCTGTTTTAGAATAAACTCCCTTTGTAGGGCTTCCTGGGGATAAAATGCAAGAGGGTAAGATTGGAAGAGGAAAGAGGTAGATGGAGAAACTGAGGGGAGAGGCCACATGCCACTTACTTTGAGGTACTGGGAAAGCTGGATGATTTCCTAGAGGGAAAGAAAAAGAGAATTAAAAAAAACTCTAGGGTCCCTGAAATCCTGGAACATGAAGCTATAGCATGGGTTGGCTTGTATAGATCAAACCTCTTCTGCCTTGGTCCTGACAGGGTCCCTCTAGGCCTAATGTCTATGCTCAGTGCCCCCTTGCCATGCAGGAAGAAGATAACCCTCCATCCAGCTGAGTTTATCGTGAAATGCCAGAATGTCAGGGATTAAATGCTGTCTGATTCAACCTCTTCAAAGTGAGGATCTTCTTACCTCATCCAGAACTGCAACTCCGTAACTGGGAAGAGAAGAAATAAAAAAACATGATATTGGACCAAAGAATCAAAGAAGTCAGGAGGCAATCAGTTGATTCCTTCTGGGATCCCTTCTGAAGAGCCAGTAGGATAGGAAAGATCTTTCTCTTTCTTAATTAAGGTGAACATAGAAACTCATTGTGTTATTTCTCCACCAACTGGGTGAAGATATTCAACTCATACCTTAGAAAAGAGGAATGGATGGGATGTGAAGAGGTTAGGGTTAGGAACATGAAAGCAACTCACTTGGTTTGCTGACTAGCATCATTCTTAATTGTTGGCCATGCTTCTTCAGCTGTTGTCTGAGTACCTGAGAGATGGAGAATAAGGTGCTTCAGAACCCATGGGGGAGGGGGAAAGTGAAGGAAATGGGGAGAGACAGGGACTCTCCATGGCCAGTAAGCTGGGACTGCTGTGGCAGGATTCTCTGCAGGTCCCATGAGTGGGGAAGGCTCTGTCCTTACCACGGTGGTGTTTGGGTGGCTTCTTGATGGGAGAATCCTGTTGAGGAAGGTCCTGAGGCCGAGAGGAGAGGTGGTCAGCCACATCCTTCTGGATACCTGAGAGAAGAGGATGCTGGACTGGAAAGATCTCAGAGCTGATTCCTGCCACCTGGAAGGCAAGTGGGGAATGCTGAAAACCACTGCCTAGAGCTTGTAAGATTTGGAAGATGCTCCTGATGATTGCAGAAAGATGAACCTATGAGCATATTTGCTATGGACTGAATGTTTGTGTTCCCTCAAAATTTGTATATGAGATCCTAACTCCCGATTTGGTATTAGGAGGTGGAGCCTTTGGGAAGTAATTAGGTCAGAGGGTGGAGCCCTCATTAATAGGATTAGTGCCTTTATAAGAAGAAACATGAGAAAGCTTGCTTTCTCTCTCTGCTCTCTGCCATGTGAGGATACAATGAAAAAAAGATCATCTGCACACCAGGAAGAGAATTCTCATCAGACACCAGATCTGCTAGAGTCTTGATCTTGGACTTCTAACTTCCCAAATTGTAAGAATTAAATTTCTGTTTAAGCCACCCAGTCTAATGGTAATTTGTTATAGCAGTCCAAATGGACGAAGACAACATTTCAGGTCCAGAGAACCAAAGTAACCCACTCAAGCCTTCAAAGCCACAAGGCTACTCCTGCTTTTCCCATCCTTGTGCTGGCTGGTCCTCCTCAGGGAAGGCAAATGGGGAGCTGCACTTCTCTCTAATTTTTCTCTCTAGAATCTCTGATCTACCTTGTTTGGTTACAGCCACTTACATAGCCAACACGGTGATATGGAAAAATAACTGATCGAGTGAGGAGTGAGGGAACCTGGGTCTAGATCTTGCCTTTTCTAGGTTTCAGCCCACTGTCTATGCAGTGAGCAGTTTGGAATAGGTGATCCCTAAGGTCTTTCCATATTCTAGGGACAGCTTCCTTCTTCTTAGTAATAGTTGGAAAATTGTTGAGCTTTTTGTGAAGAGAAGGTAAAGCAGGAAGTTTTAGGGATGGGTGTAGTAGTAGTGGTCATAATGTAGTCTGCTCTTTTATATTTTATTTTTACAAACTCAAAAACTCTATGTTGGTAACATAACACTAAAAAGCTAAGACTAACTTAGACTTAATAAAATCTTAACAAGCTGGTAGGCAGAGGTGGAGTTCTTTAGTTAATTGTATTTTTTGCTCTATTTTCCCTGCATTTTAAAAAAGCATTCAGAAACCTTCTTGCCTTAGAAAGAACATAGTTGATTTTCTTTTGCAGTTGGGCTCCATGATCATTTCTCTGAATGTCACTTCCCATCGAGCATAACAGATCCTCTAGTTAAGCCCTGATGGAGTAACCACTCTGGTTAAGGCACACTGCCAGGCATTTACGGGCAACACAGCAGACCCGTGCCTGTTGTCATTATGCTCACAACATGGGTAGGAAGACACAGATGGTTTGCTGGCTAAGGTCATCTTGGCATACCACAGACAGATTCTGAATTTTGCCAACACTGTTACCTTCCCATGCCAGATTAGTGGGCCCTCTAAGAGTTATACAATCTTAGAGGATTTATAGACTCTTAAGGCCCACGGAGAGCAGAGGTGGCCTGGAGAATCCAGGGAAGGGTTCTTGGACCAGATGAAGCTATAGATGAGTGGATTTAGTAGGACTGGAATGGAACAAGAGCAAGAGAGATGTTTGGCTGCAACAATTGTTCAGAGGAAAAGAGGACGTGTGTGTGTGTGTGTGTGTGTGTGTGTGTGGTGGGGAAATGGGACATCAAAAGGATTGGTCTGTATATCTGCCATATAATAACCATTCAGTAAATATCTGATGACTGATGGGTGAATGAATGCTGTAAGATAGCTGTAGAAGATACGTATAGAGTGCCTAAATTTGAACTGATACTAAATGTTAGTTTTGAATTGTTTTTAAAATTATTTTTTTCCTTCCTAAAAGGCAAGCACAAAACAAAAAAGAGCAAAACAAACAAACAAAAACACAATAACAAAAATCTCTGAATGAGAAAGTGGCTAGTGGCAACTTTACCACATGACTGGGGAAGAACTTAATTTAAATCACTTTTTAGTGACCTTGAGCCCACCCATCCTCCTTGTGCAGAGAGAGAACAAAGAGCACAGAGAAGTATGTCCCTTGACATGGCCCACCTGCTGTCTGGGGGAAGAGATCCTGCTGGCACAAGACAAGGGCTGCTTGAGGACAGTGGCCTGGCCTGGCCTCCTGGAGGGCCCTTGCTCCCTGGCCTCGGGACATCGTGCCTTGCACTTCTCCTCCAGCTCTAGGTTCCTCCTCCTGAAGAACTGCTGCAGCCGAGCTCTCTGGAGCTGCTCTCTCTGCTGAATCCTCAGCACCTTCCCCACCTGGCGGCAAGTGGTCACGTTGGGACGGCAGCGGCGACTTTCGCGGGTCTCCTGCCGGCGCTCACACTTGGCCTCATAGCTCTCAGCCCACCGGGCCAAGCCAGGGGAGGGCCTGGGGTCCGGGCTGATCATGATGACCTCCGAGCACCTGTTGTGCTTGGCTTCCAGTTCCTGGAATAGATGCCTGGATCTGCCAAATGCCAAGAGGGAGGAGAGGGGGAGGGGTCTGAAGATGGGCAGAAAAATGACAGTCTCCCCAGACCAGGGTGAGGAAACAGCACATAGGTCTATCTATGTGGGTTAAAAACTGAGGACATGATGGTGTCAAACCGGGAGTCAGGACTCCAGACTCTATCAATAATGAATTAACACAGTCTAATAAAAGCAAATTCCTACTTTTCTCTAGCCTATGTTTCTCCTTTGTAAAGTGGAAGGATTTCTACTACGTGTAAAGAAGAAACAAAAACAAAAACCCAAACTTATTCCTTGATTGAACATCTCACCATCCCTGAGTCAGGGGAAAATGAGAACAAAATAATAAAAGGCATAATAAACTTATAGCCTTTGGGGAGGCAGGTGTGTGTTCATTTTCTAGATTTCTAAAGAAACAGCAAGATTGACCTTCTTTCCCTACTAATTCACAATATAAAAGGAAATTCAAATCTTTACTACTCTCTTGGCCCACATTGTTACTAAGATAGTTGAGTGACATTTCTCAAGACCTGGAGGCATAACCAAGCACCCCTCAGGATGTGACTAGTCCTGTGACCAGCACCTACTGCTCTCTTCTTGGCCCTTAGCAACTAGCTGTGAGCCTGGACCTGACATGGTTTAGGAGGGAAGCCACCCTAAGTCTCCATCATGCTGTCCTGACATTGGTTTATTGCACCCCATTCCAAGCCCAGGGCTGGGCTCTGTCTCCCAGGTACAGATCAAGTTCAATCTGTATTGACCAAGCATGTGCCACATGCCCAGTGCTGGCCAAAACTTATGTCAGAGCTCTACAAACTCTTGGAGCTGAGGGTTCCATTTTTAATTTTTTAATTTTTTTTTAGGATCACCTCCCTATCAGGGCTAAATCTGGTGCCAAGTCTGCCTTCCTTAGCCCAGACACAGATTGTGCCATTCAAGCCTGCAAGCACATGGAATTATACCTTCATGAGGCTACTACAAACAAACAATATACAAAACAGACAAAAATAGCAAGTAAAAATTTACAGGGAACCAGGCTTGGTGTAGGAGCTATAGGACACCCCTCTGCATGGCCTTATCTGGTATTCATGTAGTACCCAAACCATAATTCCTTATTCCTTCTCTGTGTCTTTCTCTCTCTTTCCTACTCTTCTCTACCTACCTTCTAGAAATTTGTTCTCTCCTAGAACCCGCTGGTAACTTTGTTGAGTTGGGGCTAAATTGGACGAGCTGGATCTTGAGTGTTGGGAATTTTGTGCCCTGCCTCCTCTGATCTCTGGAGACAGACCAGGGATAATGAAGAAAAAGGGACTCCCCCTCACAGCTGCTGCTGCTTCTCTCCCTCCCACGACCTCATTACCTACCACCCTGGAACCTGAGTTCCTGGGTAGGTCAGAGGAGGGTATCTCAGCTTCACCAACCAGCAGACATTTGTTAGCTCTAACCCCTTGGGGTTTATTTATAGCCCAAACAGACCCAACAGGTAGCAGTCTCTGGGACTTGGCTGCCCATCCTGGCTCAGTCTGGAATTCTCTGCAGGATTCTTGTCTTCTCTTTGTACCACCCATTCCCCAGCGTCATGGGTGGGACAGTCTTCCTCCCTGAGAGGGGTCTTATGTGGTCAAGCCCCGGATGTCTTAAATACCTGACTCTTGAGGGGTGGAGGGGCATACTCTGGTCTTGGGCAGCACTGACTCCATGCAGAATTGTGAGGTTGCTAATGTTTGTTCTCTACATACCATTTCTGAATGGCTCTCTTGTTTCTTTAGGCTTTAGGTTTTTCTCCTCACTCCTACTCTTATGGTGGGGAGATAGTCCCTTGACTTTCCACCTGCTACTTCCTTTTTTTTTTTGAGTTGGAGTCTCACTCTGTCGCCCAGACTGGAGTGCAGTGGCCGCTCCCGGCCACCGCAGCCTCGACCTGCTGG